CTCATTTTCAATGTTATAATATTTAGGATTATTATTATTGTTAGTTAAATATTCATTGGATTCCAAGCTTTTCGTAAACAATAGTAGTTTTGTTTCAATATATTTTTATTAATACAATATATTATATAATTTATTATAAAATAAAGATATTTTTATTTAAAAATTGCAAATTTACGTCAAGAATATTCTGTGAATTGGATTGCCAACAGGAATATGGCTCTAATTAAACGTCCGGATTATATAGTGAGACAAATGGCATTGTATGACAACGACCAGGTGCTGGACATACTGTCCTCTTTGGGCATTACTGTCGGCAATCACACCAATATAACAATGTTGAAGATTGACTCCAATTGTCTATATGTGGCCGAAGACACTGATACAGGTCTGTCTCTTTACATATCGTTTACTTTATATAATTTTAAAAATATAGATTTTATAACTTGTTGTTTTTGTTGATATTAGTTGCACACACAGTAATGGTGTTTACTATGTTTAATTATTTTATATTTGTTAAATTAGTGAAATTTTAAGTGAATCAAAATTTAACTTTTTATATAATTACTGTTTTATATAGTGATTGAAAATTTTTGCCAAGTTTAGACTATATTTTAAATAAGTGGATTGTTTTTAGATGTAAACATAATGTAAACATGTTTTTAGATAAACTTAATAATAGTATTATAAAACGATAAATACCTAGGACTTTTAGTGTTTGTAAAATATACTTACATATACTTTGCATATTATTTAATTTAATGGCACAAAAATATTTAGAACTTCTATATAAAAACAAAATTACTTATCATTTTTAATTAACCTACATATAATAACTAGTTAATTGGTTATAAAATTATAATAATCAATGTATATTCACACAAAATAATGGCCTAACTTTAGGGCAAATCCTGGGCGTGTGTTCGGGATTCAACATCACGCGAGACCTGGCGTTTGTGGGCGAGTATGCAGTTGTGCCGAAATACCGTCGGCTGGGAATCGGGCACTCAGTGTGGAAACGGTGTTTAGAGCACTGCTCCAAACGGAACTGCGCTATATTTCCCGAACCCAAGACTATCGCCACATTCAAAGACAAGTCCGGCTTTCAAGTGATTCCCGCCCGACGTATGATCGCCTACTCAGGCGTTCCCCAGATGTTTGCGCTCAACAAATACTGCGATTACTGCGAAATTGAATACATCAC